TGTGTGTGTGTGTGTGTGTGTGTGTGTGTGTGTGTGTGTGTGTGTGTGTGCATACAGCCTGTTCTGAGCCCAAATATGTGCAGGCAGCCAGAAGCAGTAGTGCTCAGGAGGTGTGTCTTTCAGCCAACCACAGCTTTCTCACACTGGGGTGGGTGCTGGTTCCTATAATACACACACAAGACCTGTTTGAGAAGCAGGCCATCTCACACACCTCACACTCTTACTATTGGCAGCCTGGGGAACGGGGTCTGCCTGAAATGTGTTGGGGTCCCAAGCAGATTTATGATTAAACTCCCTCTAAATCCCCAGAATAGCCTCACAAAGAGTCCCACTGATGTATTTGTCAGCACTGTATGCACATACAATGGTCAAAGTATTGGTTTGAGTCCAGTTTATTCACATCTAACCAAAGGTATTGCTACGTAGTTCATAGCTACTGGTTCACATGTTTCAAATAATGTGATTCAAACATTCTACTCTGAGCACTGTGTGTATGCTTTCCCAGTATCAGCCTGTTGATATTACAAATCCTACAAGACTACTGTCAGTCATCAATGTTGGGTGCTATATTTTTGTTCATAGGTCAGGTTTATCTTTGAATCAAATGAAGGCAAGCTTTGACCTGAAGGCTAAAATTAGCGTCCTAATATGCTAACAGAATGAGAATGTAACACGCTGATGTTTAGCAGTTATCCATAAATTGGGCAAACATAATATTTGACTAGATAGCAGCGCTACATGGAAAGTTAGGGGATAAACAAAGTGTTTACCATTCAACAGAAGGGGAACTTGAGTGTTTGTGCCATATTTTATTTCACTCTATCCAATAGTTGACATTTCATGACGACAGGATAATAAATTCAAGTCAGAATGATTCATGCCCTGTGGGCAAGTAACGATTCATCCAATAATTGTTGAGAAGCAGTATTTCAGTCTGGATCAAAGTGGTGGATGCCGTCCATAGAGCAATACCGCTTGTATATTTAATAAACGTTTCGTCTTGGACCTTTTTCCTTTAAACAACTCTGTTTTTCCATCCTTAAAACAAAGTTTAAGGGACCTGCATAGAGATTCCAAATCAGCGCTATGACACACAAACATTGCATGGTAAAATTCTAATATGGCTTCTTATCTCTGCCTGCAGGTTGGAGGGATATCGATGGCCGCGCTCCCCGTCAGAGAGGCCAGAAGGAGGCACTTGACCAGCTACTGGGACAGATAAAAGAAGCCCACCGCCACTGTGTCTGCCATGGTATCAACAACTTTTTGATCGATTTGGTGGGCGTGTTTAGCTAAAAGACTGAACTGTAATCTGAGCGCTTTAACGGTTTGCATAGCTGACCCCTGGTGAAACCCAAAGCCTCAAACCTGGTAGTGATAGTGACTTGATGTACTCTACATATGAGCACATGTTAAACCAGACGTTTAAAACTGGTTTAACTTTGGAATTACATTCAGCAAATTCTTGAACGTACACTTGAAACTACGCAACATTAAGATCAGATTTTATTTCTGGTGTCTGTTGAATTAAAGTAGCAGAAGTGAAATTGCTCCGAGCTTCTGACATTAAACTGCGCGTCTGTCCTTTTCAGTACGCCCGTCAGCTTTTAAACAAACACATCTGAACTTTAAGCAACCGTCTAGTTCAGGTTTCATAAATATTCTCGGTGTAAACAAACACGAAGGTGAGCAATGGACGGTTGAACGTGCAGGTGTAACCCGTCTCACCAATTTCTGGGTTTCATCTCACCTTGACAGACACTTTACAATCTCAGGCACGACAAGTACTTTGGGGGGCCATTCACCCTAAGACGGCATGCCACCTCAAAAGTAATACCCTCCCCTCTGTCTCAACCGACCCCACACCCCCCTACTTTTACATCTTTCCATGACTCAGCCCTTCCTCCTTCTGAATACCTCTCTCTCTGTGACAAAATGCAGCTTCTCTCACACTCAGGCTGTTTATATCCCCAAACACTGCAGGCTGTAAGCTGCTCCCATAAGTGTCAGAACCTGTCCACACTGACTCTTTTACATGACGGCAAACTGCATTTAGCGTTGAGCAAGATGTCTCTCTTTTTTTCTAGCAATCCCACACGCCCAAACACACTCGCCCACTTACTATTGTCCACTGTGGCCAGACCGTATTTGCAATAAGGCGAAACGCAATATAATAGTCAGTATTGAGTGGCTCTCGGTTCTTCAGACGGCGACTGATTGAGCTCCAGAGTTCAGGCACGGTAGCCGAGGTGGCGTGTCCCGGGGTCATGTTTGTTATTCCTGTAAGAGACGAGTCCTAGGCTGGAGTCGGGAGAGGGCATAAATTAACACTGACTACTGCTTTCCCCCCCCACCTCCACCTCCACCTCAACCCCCCCACAGCCGCCTAGTCGCCCTGTCTACTGTCCATACATATACACACATAAAGATAGACAGGCACGCACAGATACCCATGTACATGAAACAGACACAAATATTCACTTTCTCTTTCAGTGCCGACTCTCTCGCACATGTCCATGTACGCACCCCCCCATCGCAGCGCGGCCCACGCCACATTCTCCCTCTTGTCCAAACACTATTAATTAAACTGTGAAAGAGGCCTTGACTAACACAGGTACCCCAGCAGTCAGCCCTACTTGTCTGTCTTACTCAGTGTCAAACATGGACTGAGGCCAGCGGGACCAGAGCCGAACAGACTCGCGAGTAAAAGAGAAATTTGGGGAGGTGAGAGGGGTCGAGGGGCGCTGTTTTTTCTCGTTACTCCACCTCGACTCGTGCACCTGAAGAGAAAATTAGTTATTTTCGGGTCCTGAATGGGGGGATTTATTGACTTTAAGTGGCCTGGGGCTGGAGTACGATCACCTGGGAGGGGAGGAGAGGGAATCTGTGGAGGGTTTGGGACTCAGGGTTTCTAATGAGTTGGGAGGCGCGTTATCTCACCAATAGGCGCCCACACAAACACACACATACATACACACACACACACACACACACACACACCTCCCTCTCTCGCCTCCAACCCCCTCCAGGCCCACTAAAAATAAACATGTCCCCACAGACTTAACTGACCTCCCTGTCAGTGAGTGGCAAAGGGTTAAGACACACACAGACACACACACACACAAATTACTACAGCTCCTTGGCTCCACTCACATGGCTGTAGCTCAATACTCGCCATGCTCCAGCAGCTTTAGTATGTGCAGGTAAACACACACACACATACATATACACACAGTTAGTGTCCCTCAGGGACCGGAGGGCTAGTAGTTCCCTAAAGGCCCATAGTCTGCTGCTGGCAGCCAGCATGACTGTCAAATGGTGCCGCGCCACTGGAGCGCATGAAATGTCCAAAAACATTCCACTCCGCCCGTGTTGTTGGACGTGTCAAGTTTGTTGTCAGTTAGGTAACGGCCTGTCACCGGGAGAGATGTTTCTAAAGTTTGTCAGGACAGAGGTATTCATTGGTGTTAGCAAGAAAATGAGACAACCAATCAGAGTAATGCCCCAGCTTCTCACACGTGCCACGACTTAAAGGACAAGGCAAGAGCATCAGAATCCTCATTCAAGTAATCTGGCTAATTTATTCTGTTGATTTGGAATTAATGTTGTCCTTTTCTTGTCAATGCAGAACAGTGCAAAGCTCCACAGCAAGGCAGGAAGCACTCCGTTTCCAAAAGCCTGCGCCACCTCTTCCAACCTACCAGCAAATTTGTTAAAAGCTTGAAAAGGTAGATATGAAAATAATTGACTTCCATGCTGTAGACTTTTAATATCAAAGGAATTGTATTTAATGTGTTTGTTTGAAATGTAGTGTTTAATTAGTCAAATTACATATATATTTTTCATTACGGTGTGAAGGTATTATATTCATTATTGATTGTTAAATATACACAACAAGGCAAAATAACAGTAATTGTTTGGTACATTGTAATTGAAATGTAAGAAGAAGAGTCATGTGACGTCTCACTTTTACAATGAATGTTTTATACTAACACATGTACTATGTTACTTTTCAGGGGTCTGTACCTGACATCCATACTCTACAGAGATGATAATGTGCTAGTGACTCCAGAGGACCAGATTCCTATCGTGGAGGTGGAAGACTCCTACTCCAGCTCCCTCATGCAGGACTTCCTCTGGTTTACCAAGGTAGAAAAAACAGACAAAAAGACAGAGAAATAGAGAAAGGAACACAAAACATCAACTTTAACAATTGCTCAAACAAGTGATGGACCACTGTAACGCATTTATACAATCATTGTATAACTGATGGAAAAAACAATGGGTTTCCAGTAACTTGCTCCCTCATAATCCTATATTTTAACAAATGATAACATTTTCCATTGGTTGTTAATACTAATACTTAACTAGTTTAGAAAATAATCAATGTATGTGTTCATCTCATGTTCCAGGTATCGTATCTATGGGAGGAGATTCCCTGGCTACAGCAGTGTCTCAGTCCTTCGCAGTCTTCTTGTTCCTGCACTCTCCAGACGCGCCTCAAGATGCTACAGGCTGTCTCACAACTACAGGTACCACAGACTAGAGCTACGGTTTTAGAATTAAAATATGACCTCATGGTTTGTAAAGGTTGATAGTGGCTACACCCATTCTATCCTTTCCTCCCTATGCTCTAAAAAAGGATAACAATGCTGAATAGCAATACAATTATTTTATTTTATTTTAATTAATTTTATTTTATTTTATTTATTTATTTTATTATTTTATTATGATTTATCTTTATTTATTTTAAATTATTTTAATTAATTATTATTTTATTTTTTTTTTTTTTAATCTCTCTCATCATACAAGAGGGCGGACAATGGGCACAGAAGGAGGCGCGAAAAAGGCAGAGACGATTTAACCACAAAAAAATAATCAAGTAATAATAATTAAAATAATAAAATAAATAAAAATAATAAAAAAAATAAAATAAATAGAAATAAAGTAGGAATAAATAAACATAAAATAATTAAAAAAATAAAATAATTGTATTGCTATTCAGCATTGTTATCCTTTTTTAGAGCATAGGGAGGAAAGGATAGAATGGGTGTAGCCACTATCAACCTTTACAAACCATGAGGTCATATTTTAATTCTAAAACCGTAGCTCTAGTCTGTGGTACCTGTAGTTGTGAGACAGCCTGTAGCATCTTGAGGCGCGTCTGGAGAGTGCAGGAACAAGAAGACTGCGAAGGACTGAGACACTGCTGTAGCCAGGGAATCTCCTCCCATAGATACGATACCTGGAACATGAGATGAACACATACATTGATTATTTTCTAAACTAGTTAAGTATTAGTATTAACAACCAATGGAAAATGTTATCATTTGTTAAAATATAGGATTATGAGGGAGCAAGTTACTGGAAACCCATTGTTTTTTCCATCAGTTATACAATGATTGTATAAATGCGTTACAGTGGTCCATCACTTGTTTGAGCAATTGTTAAAGTTGATGTTTTGTGTTCCTTTCTCTATTTCTCTGTCTTTTTGTCTGTTTTTTCTACCTTGGTAAACCAGAGGAAGTCCTGCATGAGGGAGCTGGAGTAGGAGTCTTCCACCTCCACGATAGGAATCTGGTCCTCTGGAGTCACTAGCACATTATCATCTCTGTAGAGTATGGATGTCAGGTACAGACCCCTGAAAAGTAACATAGTACATGTGTTAGTATAAAACATTCATTGTAAAAGTGAGACGTCACATGACTCTTCTTCTTACATTTCAATTACAATGTACCAAACAATTACTGTTATTTTGCCTTGTTGTGTATATTTAACAATCAATAATGAATATAATACCTTCACACCGTAATGAAAAATATATATGTAATTTGACTAATTAAACACTACATTTCAAACAAACACATTAAATACAATTCCTTTGATATTAAAAGTCTACAGCATGGAAGTCAATTATTTTCATATCTACCTTTTCAAGCTTTTAACAAATTTGCTGGTAGGTTGGAAGAGGTGGCGCAGGCTTCTGGAAAGCTGCGCAGTGCTCTCCATGCCCTTGCTTGTGGAGCTTTGCACTGTTCTCGCATTGACAAGAAAAGGACAACATTAATTCCAAATCAAACAGAATAAATTAGCAGATTACTTGAATGAGGATTCTGATGCTCTTGCCCTGTCCTTTAAGTCGTGCACGTGTGAGATAGCTGGGGCAGTCACCTGATTGGTGTTCATTTGTACTTGCTAACACCAATGAATACTCGTGTCCTGACAACCTTTAGAAACATCTCTCCGGTGCGGGCCGTACCACACACACTTGACACTCCAACGAGAGCCAGACGGAAACAAGAGCAAACTGTTTTGGAGGGCATTTCAATGCGCTCCGCCAGTGGCGCCGGGCACCAATTTAGACTA